GGCAATAGACTACCTTCCATAATGACAAGGGTACCATCATTGGAGTAGCCAAAATATCAACAAGAGACTACCTTCCATAATTACAAGGCTACAATCCATTGGAGTATAAAAAATCTCGACAATAGACTACCTTCCATAATGACAAGGCTACCATCCATTAAAGTAACTTAAATCTCGTACACAAACTACCTTCCATAATGACTAGGCTACCATCCATTGGACTAACAAAGATATCGACAACAAACTACCTTCCATAACGACAAGGCTACAATCCATTATAGTAACAAAAATCTTAACAACAGACTACCTTCCATAATGACAAGGCTACCATCCATTGTAGTGACAAAAATCTCGATAATATACTACCTTCTATATTGACAACGCTACCATCCATTGGAATAACAAAAATCACGACAACAGACTACGTTCCATAATGACAAGGCTACCATCCCTAAGAGTAACAAAAATCTGGACAACAGACTACCTTCCATAATGACAAGGCTACCATCCATTGGAGTAACAAAGATATCGACAACATACTACCTTCAATAATGACAAGGCTACCATCCCTTAGAGTAACAAAAATCACGACAATAGACTACCTTTCATAATGACAAGGCTACCATCCATTGGAATAACAAAAATATCGTTAACAAACTACCTTCCATAATGACTAGGCTACCATCCATTGGAGTAACAAAGATATCTACAATAGACTACCTTCCCTAACGACAAGGCTACAATCCATTCTAGTAACAAAAATCTCGACAATAGACTACCTTACATAATGACAAGGCTACCATCCATTGTAGTGACAAAAATCTCAACAATATACTACCTTCTATAATGAAAATGCTACCATCCATTGGAATAACAAAAATCTCGACAACAGACTACCTTCCATATGGACAAGGAACCCATCACTTAGAGTACCAAAAATCTCGACAATAGACTACCTTCCATAATGACAAGGCTACCATCCATTGGAGTAACAAAGATATCGACAACATAGTACCTTCCATAATGACAAGGCTACCATCCATTGGAGTAACAAAAATCACGACAACTGACTACCTTCCATAATGACAAGGCTACCATCCATTGGAATAACAAAAATATCTACAACACACTACCTTCCATAATGACAAGGCTACCATGCAATGGAGTAACAAAAATCTCGGTAATAGACTACCTTCCATAATGACAAGGGTACCATCATTGGAGTAGCCAAAATATCAACAAGAGAATACCTTCCATAATTATAAGGCTACAATCCGTTGGAGTATAAAAAATCTCGACAACAGACTACCTTCCATAATGATAAGGCTACCATCCATTAAAGTAACTTAAATCTCGTACACAAACTACCTTCCATAATGACTAGGCTACCATCCATTGGACTAACAAAGATATCGACAACAAACTACCTTCCATAACGACAAGGCTACAATCCATTATAGTAACAAAAATCTTAACAACAGACTACCTTCCATAATGACAAGGCTACCATCCATTGTAGTGACAAAAATCTCGATAATATACTACCTTCTATATTGACAACACTACCATCCATTGGAATAACAAAAATCTCGACAACAGACTACGTTCCATAATGACAAGGCTACCATCCCTAAGAGTAACAAAAATCTCGACAACAGACTACCTTCCATAATGACAAGGCTACCATCCATTGGAGTAACAAAGATATCGACAACATACTACCATCAATAATGACAAGGCTACCATCCCTTAGAGTAACAAAAATCACGACAATAGACTACCTTTCATAATGACAAGGCTACCAACCATTGGAATAACAAAAATATCGTTCACAAACTACCTTCCATAATGACTAGGCTACCATCTATTGGAGTAACAAAGATATCGACAATAGACTACCTTCCCTAACGACAAGGCTACAATCCATTCTAGTAACAAAAATCTCGACAATAGACTACCTTACATAATGACAAGGATACCATCCATTGTAGTGACAAAAATCTCAACAATATACTACCTTATATAATGACAATGCTCCCATCCATTGGAATAACAAAAATCTCGACAACAGAATACCTTCCATATGGACAAGGCAACCATCCCTTAGAGTAACAAAAATCTCGACAATAGACTACCTTCCATAATGACAAGGCTATCGTCCATTGGAGTAACAAAGATATCGACAACATAGTACCTTCCATAATGACTAGGCTACCATCCATTGGAGTAACAAAAATCACGACAACAGACTACCTCCCATAATGACAAGGCTACCATCCATTGGAATAACAAAAATATCTACAACACACTACCTTCCATAATGACAAGGCTACCTTGCAATGGAGTAACGAAAATCTCGGCAATAGACTACCTTCCATAATGACAAGGGTACCATCATTGGAGTAGCCAAAATATCAACAAGAGACTACCTTCCATAATTACAAGGCTACAATCCATTGGAGTATAAAAAATCTCGACAACAGACTACCTTCCATAATGACAAGGCTACCATCCATTAAAGTAACTTAAATCTCGTACACAAACTACCTTCCATAATGACTAGGCTACCATCCATTGGACTAACAAAGATATCGACAACAAACTACCTTCCATAACGACTAGGCTACAATCCATTATAGTAACAAAAATCTTAACAACAGACTACCTTCCATAATGACAAGGCTACCATCCATTGTAGTGACAAAAATCTCGATAATATACTACCTTCTATATTGACAACGCTACCATCCATTGGAATAACAAAAATCTCGACAATAGACTATGTTCCATAATGACAAGGCTACCATCCCTAAGAGTAACAAAAATCTGGACAACAGACTACCTTCCATAATGACAAGGCTACCATCCATTGGAGTAACAAATATATCGACAACATACTACCTTCAATAATGACAAGGCTACCATCCCTTAGTGTATCAAAAATCACGACAACATACTACTTTTCATAATGACAAGGCTACCATCCATTGGAATAACAAAAATATCGTACACAAACTACCTTCCATAATGACTAGGCTACCATCCATTGGAGTAACAAAGATATCGACAACATACTACCTTCCATAATGAAAAGGCTACCATCCCTTAGAGTAACAAAAATCACGACAACAGACTACCTTTCATAATGACAAGGCTACCATCCATTGGAATAACAAAAATATCATACACAAATACCTTCAATAATGACTAGTCTTCCATCCATTGGAGTGACAAAGATATCGACAACAGACTTCCTTCTATAATGACAAGGCTACAATCCATTGTAGTAAAAAAAAACTCGACAACAGATTACCTTCCATAATGACAAGGCTACCATTCACTGTAGTGACAAAAATCTCAACAATATACTACCTTCTATAATGACAAGTCCCCCATCCATTGGAGTAACAAAAATCTCGACAACAGACTACCTTCCATAATGACAAGACTACCATCCATTGGAGTAACAAAGATATCGACAACATACTACCTTCAATAATGACAAGGCTACCATCCCTTAGAGTAACAAAAATCACGACAATAGACTACCTTTCATAATGACAAGGCTACCATCCATTGGAATAACAAAAATATCGTTAACAAACTACCTTCCATAATGACTAGGCTACCATCCATTGGAGTAACAAAGATATCGACAATAGACTACCTTCCCTAACGACAAGGCTACAATCCATTCTAGTAACAAAAATCTCGACAATAGACTACCTTACATAATGACAAGGCTACCATCCATTGTAGTGACAAAAATCTCAACAATATACTACCTTCTATAATGAAAATGCTACCATCCATTGGAATAACAAAAATCTCGACAACAGACTACCTTCCATATGGACAAGGAACCCATCACTTAGAGTACCAAAAATCTCGACAATAGACTACCTTCCATAATGACAAGGCTACCATCCATTGGAGTAACAAAGATATCGACAACATAGTACCTTCCATAATGACAAGGCTACCATCCATTGGAGTAACAAAAATCACGACAACAGACTACCTTCCATAATGACAAGGCTACCATCCATTGGAATAACAAAAATATCTACAACACACTACCTTCCATAATGACAAG